CCTCTTTACCGATCATGGCAAGGACCGGTTTAACCGGTGCTCACTCCTCCGTGGCACTTGATCCCATCTCTGATGTTTTAGAGGTCCGCGTTTGCTCTGCCCAAAAATTTGTATTGTTTAATGGACTTTTGAGCTTGAATAGTCCAATACTGTTCGTTGTCTCCCTATATTTCATTTAGATGCAAAAACTGAAAATTGTTGGGTCATCTTTATTATAATATTTGCTCGCCCTCTCCCGGCTCAGGTTTAAAACTAATGGGTCGGTAGGTAGGTACTAGGTAGGAACATCTTTTTTAAAATTCTTTTATTTAGAAAATTTCAAATTGCATACAGTGAACCCCTTTGTCTGGATAATTCCACCTACAGTTTTAAAGGTAAGAACTTGTAAAGACGGAAGTATAAAGGAATCACCTCGTCCGGCCACCTGTTCCTGCAAACTTCTCTGAGTAATAATTTCATTTTGTTTTGAAAAAAAAAAAGGAAGCTCGTACTTCAAGTAGAGATTACATATGACCTGACGGTAAGTCAGGCCACTGACCAAAGCTCATTCAAGTAAGTTTAGGTCATTAGCTAAAAAAAAATTAATATTCCCAATGCTAAAACTTTGATTTACTGAAAGGTCATACGGAGTACAAAGAATTCTTATGTTCCAAGGTGTATCTTCCAGAAAGTTCAAGGTCACTGGGAGAAAAAGTATAAAATTCTTGTATGGGCTTATAACTTTGTAGTGAAGAATCTCTGGAAGGCCGTGCTTGGTACAGAGATTGATTCTGACACGATGGGAAGGAAATCTTGAACTTATAATTAACCCAAGGTCGTTCTTGTAAGTTTAGACTCACGGGCTGAAAAAATGAACTCATTGTTGGGATATTTTTGCTACAAGGATTACTAATGTCCTTCAGGTTTGTTACGACTTTAACCTACAGTCATTCTTGCATGTTCAAAGTCAAATGCAAAAAAGGTATAAAATTCTTCTCCTAGCCTTAACTTAGTAATTATTGGGAGCCAAACTTGGTACAGAGATTATTTATGACAAGAAGGTGTGTCATGACCTTAATCATTTCATCAAGTTTAAGATGTTTGGAACAGGTGTTAAATTCATATACACAGCTTTTTTTTAATATTTCAAATAGAATTGAATACAAATTCTGTCAAAGCAAACCCAGTTTGCCATTACACTGACAGCTTTCGACTTGTTTACAATGTACGAGTATTTCCTTGTAAATCTTTGATTATTTATCCAACTCTTCATACATTATTTAAACTAACTTGATTCTTCATTTTTTTCAAAAAGCTTTCACAAAAAATTATTTTACTATTTTGTTATTTTCTCCGTTTGGAAGAGGATTTAAATCCCCCCCCCCCCCCATTCAATGAATATCCCATGCTCAAATTGGCCCAGTCGTTCTATAGAATAAAACTGAAAGGTGAAAATTTTACAGCCGTAAGCCAAGAAAGGAAAAAGGATTGAAATGATAATTGGAAGATATATCTTTTATTAAATCAATAACTGTATTATAAATATGAAATCAGTCTCTTTTTCAATGTGTATTACATTGTAGATCATTACTTTTGAATATTACAATCATTTTGTAATCACATGCCAATGGGATGTAAGGCTTTAGTGAAAATCAAATTTTATATCAACTATTTATGACATTCAATTACAAGTTATTTGTAACACTCATCTTCTAATAATTCGGTAATAATTTAACAAATCACACATCATTTAAAATGTCCCACATATTTCTTCATCCTGAATTTGAAATGCCCTTACAATCTCTTGTCTTGTCAATGGTGGTGATTATGTCTTTCCATTCTCTGAAACAAAAATAAAGAAACAGTTTAATATTTCACATCTACTGTACATTCTTATAAAATGTAAAACTTTCAACAATTCAATCGGTTTTAAGTCCTAAGCATAATTATTTATATTTATTGTTGAACAATACTAATGTAAATTCATCTACCCACAGCATAAATACAGTTTTTTCTTAGAAAAATTGCTATCCCCCCTCTGTCTTTTGCCCTGATCCTGGATGAGCAAATACATGTATTAATAATTTTTTCTTTACTGATTCAACACCTTAAAAGTAACTAGGGGGTAGGGCATCCTAGCAATACCAGGGGTCCTGAGTCAACATGTTGCCATTGGATCCCTAGCATATTTCATAAAATATTTATGGGCTTGTTTCTCTCATTGAGAAGCACCAATCAAATTAAAGCTTTTATAAACAGTTTGATAATGTAAACAACAAGGATTCAGTTGACATCTAAATTGCATGTGTTACAAATTGTTTATCATAGAATGGCTTAATGTGATTGGTTGATAGATAAGAAAGACACTCTAGATTTGTAATTTTTCCAAAAGACGTCCTTTTAGTCAGCACATGAATATTGAATGAGATTTGTCAGGGGTCCAAGGGCAACATATTGACTTAGGACCCCCTGGCACTGTGAAGGGCAGTGCGTCTTTAACATCACTACATTAATGTATCAACACTGTAAGACTGTATGCTTTTAATTGATAATTAACCAATCAATATTTGTTTGATGCTTAAAACATGCACATATCATTACACATGAAAACTTTATCTTGCTAAGATAAAGATCTATAAAAGAGGTATCCTATGCATGAAAAATCATTTAATCTTAATTCTTACCAAATTCTGTATTACCATTAAATTTCAATAACACGTATTTAATCTTAGACAATAGTTCTTCTTCAATAATTGGGTATTACCCAGTATTTAAGGACTAGGAATTACCCAGTATTAATTGAAAACCAGAAGTCTCTGTCGAGACTGTAGCTCTACTGCTTTTTATTTATAACAAAGGAAAAGTAAGCAGTTGGGACTTTAAACTTTACAACAGCAATAAATAGAATAATAATTCTTGAGTAGCTTTTAATAAAATTTTACAGTACATGTGCATTCAAAATTTAAATCACCATGGCAACAGTATTCATCAAAATAAAAAACAAAGGAAAAAAAAGGACAGTTTTGTATCTCAGTGTAGTCTACTTACATGCCACATTATATTATACTCAGACTAAACTGTATTTTGAATAGCATTTTAAAAGTATTTCACAGAGATTTCTTTTTTTAGTAACCACTGCAACACCATTTATCAAAATCAAAAACCAATAAAAAGAATTATGTACCTTAGTGTAGTCTTCTTGTGTGCTAAGTTATATTTAAATCAGACCAAAACTGTAGGAGGAGTAGCAATTTGAATGTTTTTTCTAAATTTCTATTTTTAGTAGTCACGGCAACACTATTTATCAAAATCAAAAAATGATATTTAAGGAATGACTCTAATTCTTGGCCATATTATCGAGTATAATCTGGTTTGGGTCAGTTTATGCTTTATAATCAGCAAAGCAGATTATAAACAAGAGGCCCAGGGGCCACAGCGCTCACCTGAGCACATCGGGCTTGAATTTACTCCCCCCCCCCCTTCCAGGCGTTCATCATTTCAACAAACTAGAATCTACACTACCTGAAGATGATTCCATATAAATACCCCGGGTATCACTAATCATAGCTTTGAAGTACTTGAAAAAAAGATTTTTTAAAGGTTTCCCTATATATCCCTATGTAAAAGTTGGGTCGGCCATTTTGGCCCCACCCTATCCCCAGGGTCGGGGGTCATGATTTGAAAAAACTTGAATCTACACTACCTGAGGATGATTCCACATGAGTTTCATCTTTCCTGGCCCAGTGGTAATTGAGAAGGATTTTTAAATATATTTCCTATATATTCCTATGTAAAACTTGGGTCGGCCATTTTGGCCCCACCCTTGCCCCAGGGGTCATGATTTGAACAAACTTGAATCTACACTACCTGAGGATGATTTCACATGAGTTTCATCTTTCCTGTCCTAGTGGTTCTTAAGAAGAAGATTTTTAAAGATTTATCTTATATATTCCTATGTAAAACTAGGGTCGGCCATTTTGGCCCCATCCTTGCCCTGGGGGTCATGATTTGAATAAACTTGAATCTACACTACCTGAGGATGATTCCACATGAATTTCATCTTTCCTGGCCCAGTGGTTCTGGAGAAGAAGATTTTAAAAGATTTTTCCTATATATTCCTAGGTAAAACTTGGGTCGGCCATTTTGGCCCCACCCTTGCCCCGGGGGTCATGATTTGAACAAACTTGAATCTACACTACCTGAGGATGATTCCACATGAGTTTCATCTTTCCTGGCCCAGTGGTTCTTGAGAAGAAGATTTTTAAAGATTTTTCCTATATATTCCTATGTAAAACTTGGGTCAGCCATTTTGGCCCCACCCTTGCCCCTGGGGTCATGATTTGTACAAACTTGAATCTACACTACCTGAGGATGATTCCACATGAGTTTCATCTTTTCTAGCCCAGTGGTTCTGGAGAAGAAGATTTTTAAAGATTTTTCTTATATATTCCTATGTAAAACTTGGGTCGGCCATTTTGGCCCCACCCTTCCCCCGGGGGTCATGATTTGAACAAACTTGAATCTACACTACCTGAGGATGATTCCACATGAGTTTCATCTTTCCTGGCCCATTGGTTCTGGAGAAGAAGATTTTTAAAGATTTTTCCTATATATTCCTATGTAAACTTTGGGTCGGCCATTTTGGCCCCACCCTTCCCCCGGGGGTCATGATTTGATAAACTTGAATCTACACTACATGATGATGCTTCCACATGAGTTTCATCTTTCCTGGCCCAGCGGTTCTGGAGAAGAAGATTTTTTAAAAATGCCATTAATTTTTAACAAATTCATGATTATCTCCCCTTGGAAAAGGGTGTGGCCCTTCATTTTAACAAACTTGAAACCCCTTCACCCAAGGATACTTTGTGCCAAGTTTGGTTGAAATTGGCCCAGTGGTTCTTGAGAAGAAGATGAAAATGTGAAAAGTTTACAACAACGACAACGACTACGACGACGACAACAACGACAGACAACGGACAAATTTTGATCAGAAAAGCTCACTTGAGCCTTCGGCTCAGGTGAGCTAAAAAGCGTAAACTAACCCAAACCAGATTATACTCGATAATATGGCCAAGAATTAAAGTCATTCCTTATAATTTAATTTTAAAATAATTAAACAACTTTTGATGTAAAATTGTGTTGCTTTTTATAAGTTCAAATTTACCGCGCAATAATACAACCGTAGTAATGGAAGTGATTTGAAGCGAGGGGAGGTAATGACTGATACATAGATCTAGCAGCCATGATGTTTGTTTACATGAGGTAAGAACGAGTAATTGATTAAAGTTGAAGGTACATTTATTAAATCTGGAATTTTCCATGGATTCCGAGGACTGGAAATGAGGGGATTGCATGGATATGATGATTAAGCTGGTCGTCAAGGGGGTGTGTCCCCATACCAAACCAGATTATACAAAATGTTATGCGTTCCTTTTTGGAAATCAACCAATGAGATGCGAGAATACAAATAAAATTAAATTATATAGAATTACCGGTATGTATTTTAGTGTAGTCTACTTGTGTGCCAAGTGATATTGAAATCAGACCAAAACTGTAGGAGGAGTAGCATTTTGAAAAATTGTTTACAGACGAAAAGACAGCTAGACATACCGACGAACAGAAGACAGACACATTACTACCCCATGAGCGTTTCTGGTCCAAAAAGCACTAAATGTTTAGGATATTTTCTTGATACATGTTTACTTGTAAAAAAAGCAATGAAAAATTGTGTTACAATATACTGTATATACATTTACATGTATAAAAGAAAATTCTCTTTATGTTCTGTTTATAATTTTGAAAAACTATTCATTCTTTCATACTGTCACCATGGTGTATTAGACAGTCTTTAATTAATTTGTAGCAGGGTCAGAAATTCATACATTGTAGTTCTTTTCATGCAATTGTGAATTGATAACTGGTACTTGGAGGAAGAAAAGGACAGCAAACTACTGGTATGTAGTACACATATCTCATGCCTAGCAAGCAAGAACCCCAGCTTAAAAAATCTTATGTCTCTATAATACTTGATGAAATGCTTTAACAATCATACAACAGTACAAGAGGCCCAAGGGCCTTGAATCGCTCTTCTGATAAATTGTATAACCTATCACTTGTATTTGAAGCCTCTAACCCTAAGTATCCTAAGACCAAAGTTGCATCACCTCACAAAGTTTGATGATTCTTAGCCAATTAAGACTTCTTCTTGGTCTACATTCTTGGAAAACCCAAAATGCATCAACTGACACAGTATGATTATTCTAAGCCAATAAATACCTAAGATACTTAAATATAGCCATAAAATGTCGAAAGTAGGTCACTGTGACCTACTTTTTGGTCGACATTCTCCGAAAACCCAAGATGCATCAACTGACAAAGTTTGATGATTCTAAGCCAGTAAGTACCGGAGATACTTAAATATAGCCATAAAATGTCGAAAGTAGGTCACCATGACCTACATTTTAGTCGACATTTTTCAGAGTCCAAAGATGCATCTGCTGACTAAGTATGATAATTCTTAGCCAATAAATACCTGAGATATTCAAAAGTAGGTCATCGTGACCTACTTTTTGGTCGACATTCTCCGAAAACCCAAGATGCATCAACTGACTAAGTTTGATGATTCTAAGCCAATAAATACCTAAGATACTTAAATATAGCCATAAAATGTCGAAAGTAGGTCACCGTGACCTAATTTTTGGTCGTCACTCTCCGAATACCCAAGATGCATCAACTGACAAAGTTTGATGATTCTAAGCCAATAAATACCTTAGATACTTAAATATAGCCATAAAATGTCGAAAATAGGTCACCGTGACCTAATTTTTGGTTGTCACTCTCCGAAAACCCAAGATGCATCAACTGACAAAGTTTGATGATTCTAAGCCAATAAGTACCAGATATACTTAAATATAGCCATAAAATGTCGAAAGTAGGTCACTGTGACCTAATTTTTGGTCGTCACTCTCCGAAAACTCAAGATGCATCAACTGACAAAGTTTGATGATTCTAAGCCAATAAGTACCGGAGATACTTAAATATAGCCATAAAATGTCGAAAGTAGGTCACCGTGACCTAATTTTTGGTCGTCACTTTCCGAAAACCCAAGATGCATCAACTGACAAAGTTTGATGATTCTAAGCCAATAAATACCTTAGATACTTAAATATAGCCATAAAATGTCGAAAGTAGGTCACCGTGACCTAATTTTTGGTTGTCACTCTCCGAAAACCAAAGATGCATCAACTGACAAAGTTTGATGATTCTAAGCCAATAAGTACTGGATATACTTAAATATAGCCATAAAATGTCGAAAGTAGGTCACTGTGACCTAATTTTTGGTCGTCACTCTCCGAAAACCCAAGATGCATCAACTCACAAAGTTTGATCATTCTAAGCCAATAAATACCTAAGATACTTAAATATAGCCATAAAATGTCGAAAGTAGGTCACTGTGACCTACATTTTGGTCGACATTTTTCAGAGTCCCAAGATGCATCTCCTGACCAAGTTTGATGATTTTAGGTCTAAAGGTAATCAAAATATGCCTTTTAAACAATTTGAAAACATATGCCTGCAAAATTCTAAAAGTAGGTCACAGTGACCTACTTTTTCTTAAATATGTTTTAAGGTCCCAAGATGCAGCAACTTACAAGATTTGATGATTCTAACCCTTTCAGTGCCTGAAATAATGGGATTAAATGTTTTAAAAAGGTGAAGTCATAAAGTTCAAAAAGTAGGTCACGGTGACCTACTTTTAAGTTGACGTTGTTCAAGGACCCAAGATGCATCAACTGACAAAGTTTCATGATCATAGGCCTTAAAGTGTCCAAAATATGCCTTCAAATCAATTTGAAAACAAATGCCCGCAAAATTAAAAAAGTAGGTCACCGTGACCTACTTTTGAGTTAACATGATGTGAAGTCCTAAGATGCATCAACTTATAAGATTTGATGATCCTAGTCCTTATAGTAAGCAAAATATAAACATTTTTATAAATTGTAAATTTAGGTCAACTTTAAAGTGACCTTGAGACCACGCCCTTTGCCCCAGGGTCATGCCTTGAACAATTTTTAATCTTCAACATATCCTGATCCTTGTATGTAAGTTTGGTGAAAATCTGCCTGGCGGTTCTGGAGAAAAAGATTTTTTAGCAACTAGTACTTTTGGTTTTGTTTTCCTGATTATCTCCCCTTGTTTTAGGGTCCCAACCCTTATTTTAGTATAAATGGTAGCCCTTGGGCCAAGGATACCCTGTGGCAAATTTGGTACTGATTGGCCAAAGGGTTCTTGAGTTATGGCCCATATTCTAAAAAGTTAACGCACACCGCACACCGCACAAATGGCCATAGCATTAGCTCTTTGAGCCTTTGGCTCAGAAGAGCTAATAAAGAGTACTAGCCTGCAATCCTAATAAGTAATACTGTAAATGAATTTTATTTGGCATGTATGATAGTAAATGGCGGGTTTTAATTTTCAATGTTAGCAAAAATTTGATTTTGCACTTTTTGAATGTGCTTATATGAAATATCTACACCGGGTACATTTTTAATGATGTACTTGATTAAGAGGAAGCTGCTTTCAGTGAAAGGTGGTCAAAAGAATACACAGCAAAATGTAATACGTTTACAGTATACATGTCCTGCATAAAAAATACGCTGAAAGAAATGTTTCATTTACATTAAGAAAATCATTATAATGTTAAAGAAAAAGCTACCTGATACTGTATAGCGGGTTTTCTTGACGGGTGTAAAATTTAGCGTTTTGCCTGCTCAAAGGTATGCCAATAATTTTGGCGTAATTTATTTAGCGGACACAAAGTTTCAGCTCTTTGCAGATGAACACTAAGAATAGTACAGACTATTTTAGTGATTAAAGTTTTAGCTGCCTCCGATCAAAACGCCAAAATAAGCTAAAATTAGCATCCCACTAAAATAACCCACTATATGGTACTTCTTTTCAACATATTGAATGGTATTCAATGAAGAAGTATATAAAAAAAAATTATTTTATGATTTTTATAGCTATTCATCACTCTGTTTTAATTGACCAGAATAAGTCAATTTGGGGGTACTACTTGTACTTTTAAATAGCAATCCATTTTCAGTTCATTTATATTAAATGCCTTTTTTGTGAGAATAGCAGACATCATATCTGATTCTGAGGGATTCCAAGGTAATAATGATTAGATAAATGTGTTTTAAAACCCACCAGGCCAAAATAAAATTATAGTTTGTTTGGAATTGCCTCCCACCTCATTGAAATGCCCTCTCCTGAAAAAATTTTATTGACCATAAGTAGGAAGATTTTTTTTTTTATTCAATCAATTTTTTGCCCATTACATGTATCACATGCACGATACAAAAAAACTTAAATATAGTGTCAGATCTATGTAAAATTAGATTTTTTTTGTTGATGGTAGGTACTTTTATTTACTGTTTACTGAGATTTTTATCAAAAATTTAAAATTTATCTTCAATTAAAAAAAAAAAAAAAAAAATTACCCCTCCCTCCCTCCTGTGGTTCATTCTACCTATTCCCACTTTTTGAAAATCATGTAGAAAAAGTAAGATTTTATGTGGGGATAGGTGGAATTTTGTGTAAACAAATAATTAATTATGTTCTTAAGTTTACGTATTAAGTTGCTTTTTTTTAATGAAGATCTTTTTATTTATTCAAAAATTCGAAATAAATCATATTTTCTCATAGATGTATTCGTTATTTTCTGTCTAAAGATGTACAAAATACAGGTAAATCTAAACATCTATTGTTATTTGCAAGTGGGAATAGGTGGAATTGAGATTTTTAAAAAGTGGGAATAGCTAGAAGACACCCCTCCTGTGTCTGAAACCCTTCAGGCGGCAATTCCAAACAAACAATGTTTTAAGGATGGCCCCACGGTACTGAAGAATTTTCTTGTATAAGTTGTTATATGATAATCATAAGTTTCCAACAATATTAAAGAACAAAATTGCTAATGTAGGCATATAAGCTTGAGGACAGATGTTCCTATTTCAGAGATTAATTCTGTTTCATAACTCAGTCTAATAACCCACAAAGGAAACTCATTAATTTTAAATGTTCACCTGCGATTTTACTAGGCAAAGGAAGCAAGCAATTACAAAGGAAGGTGCATAATGGTTAACCTTGCCCAAAGCATTCAAATGAGGAAAGGTATTGACCACCAATAAAGCCTACCTGTTAATGCTGTCTATACCTCGCTTTCTCCATTGACTATAGTATAATAAACAAATAAAATGTTATTTTCTCGTAATTTTTTTAACACTACATTTAGAACACCTACCAGATAGATTGCCACATCTAACATGTACATGTTTATTTAATAATAAGATGTTTTAGCTACAAATACAATATCATGCATTTCAAAATCACATTTATCTAATGCATCACTGCCATGCATTAAATCAGCAATTCAAAAGGCATGTGGTTGGCAATATTAAACATAATTGCTAGTCTTTTAAAAAATCTCTTACATCCTACAGTTTTAGCAACTAATACCTTGAAGGCTTACTTAAAATTTGAAAAAATGCAGAATACTAAAAAAGTAAAATTTATTTTTATCCAAGAGAAAAAAAAAAAAAAAAAAAAAAATTCTAAAAAAAAAGGAAAAAAAGGGAAATTTTATCCTATTATCAAAATTTCCAACAAATCTCATATTAAAAAGAAAAGTCAAAGTTGGCTTTTCTTTATTTCTTCTTTATAAAATCGCCACATTGAATTGAAACATAGCCTTTCTTCATTGTCAGTATAATATCTAAAGCTGCTGATACCCACATAAAGACTGAATATATGGCATGGTCATATGCTGTAATTAGAGATTGATTGAATGTACCCCAATATAAAAGGTGATATTGCCCTAGCATCTTAGATTTTTTTGCTCAGTTTCAATTTCATTCACTTTTGATATCACACATTCAGGTAATGGACAAATTTCAATCAGGGATACATTTACTCTGTTGAAACTCTGCATTAGTAGGCTAATGAAACTTGTGTACTTAGAAAATGAATAAATGGAACTTAGAAAATAAATATTTAAAAGTATCTGTGTAGAATCTGTGTAAAATAGCAATACAAATGTGTTCATTCTTTTCTATGCATTCCCTTTTCTGTAAAACATATTGGTAAGAAAAAAAGTGAAATAGTAATTCATGTTTTTAGTCATCACATATTGATGATATGCTGAGTAAAAAATTGGTAACATTTTAATGATTTATTCATGAGTCATAATAAGCATGAGAGTGGTGTTTGCCACGTTGACTCTTCGAATGGAAGCAATTTATATATGTGACAAAGGAAAAGCAACAGTTTACGAAACATCTGTACCTTCTTTTGGATAGAGTGTCTAGCAGAAAAAAATCAAATATGACACAACATCACAAAGTGCTTTGAGGTTAATTTGAAAAATCACACTTCAACTCATTTTTGCACAAAAACCAAGGAAATATTAGTAAAATATATTAAGTTAATGCACAGAGTTCTAGTCAAGAGGAACAACTCAACAGCATACCTCTAACATTTCTTTTCCTATTTCAGCTGGAGACAATGTGACTGTGACACCAGCTGCTTTTAATGTCTCTATTTTTTCATCTGCTCCTCCTTTTCCTCCGGCAATAATGGCTCCAGCGTGGCCCATCCTTCTGCCTGGAGGGGCAGTTAAACCAGCAATAAAGGAAACTACTGGTTTGGCATTTGGACCCTGCAAAATTTAAATGAATGCACTTAATTATTAACAAAATTCATATCTCTTGACATAACTTTTTTTCATTTTAACTTTGTAAAAAATTTTTTTTATATGTTTTGCATTAAGTCTGTTGTACCTGACTGTGGTTATGTGTGACTTACATGGTTATTATTTCTCAGATACTCTGCTGCTTTTTCTTCTGCCCCACCTCCAATCTCACCAATCAGAATTATTCCTAGGTTTAAGAACATTGACAAAATCTCAATGAAATCCCTTTCATTTTTCAACTAAAGCTAAAATGTTTAAAAAAAACTTTTAAATCATGTAAATAAAATTAACTTATGCTTTAATATGGTGTTGATTTTTAACTTCATTTTCTGAGGATAATTTAAGATCTCTCACAACTAACTTCCCTCCAGGTATTTGTGTGTTTATCATGTTTAAAGAATTTACTGAAATGGAAACTCTTAACATATTGTTTTCTTAAACTCCATCACTTAGCATACATCAGTTCATACCTTCTGTTTTAGGATCAGCTAAAAACACCTCCAAACAATCGATAAAATTGGTTCCATTAAAAGGATCACCCCCAATTCCCACACACAGGGTCTGACCCAGACCTGTTTGTGTGGTCTGATGGACCGCTTCGTAGGTCAGGGTCCCAGAGCGAGACACAATTCCTATACATCCTCTCTGATGGATGTGCCCTGGCATGATGCCAATCTTACACTCTCCTGGCTGTAAATACAAACAACTGTCATGTATATTTTATCCAAGAAAAAATTAAATATTTTCCTATAAAGTACTTATAACTATCATTAAAAGAGCAAATATTTTCTTTTAATATTTTCTCTCTCAATATAACAGATGACTGTACTATTTGCAACATTTACTAGTACACTCTTTTGAAACCTATATGCTTGTTCTCATATCTAGGAAAAGATAATTCTGCCAATGATTAATTTCAGAAAGAAAAATTTGACTATTAGTAATCTAAATTTTTCTCAGAAGAAAGTAATGACAATTTCAACTTTAAAACTAAAACTATGTTCCATTCAGTGAATGAATCAGTTCCTGGACCTACTTTAATTATTCCTGGACAGTTTGGTCCAATAAGTCTAGTCTTAGCCTGGCGTACTAATTTATGTTTGACTTTGACCATATCCTGCTGGGGAATTCCCTCTGTTATACAAACAACTAGAGGGATTTCTGCATCAATTGCTTCGTTAATAGCAGCTGCTGCAAATGGTGGTGGAACATAAATAACTGAAGCATCACAGTCTGTCTTGTCCTTTGCCTGTAGCGGATAAAGGATATGGTGAAATTATTCCAATAGCTAGACTGTCATGTATGCAGTGTTCGAAATTAGCGTCGGTCCGTCGGTCCTGCGCCGACGTTCAAACGGAAGGACTCATGTATAGTATGACTAAATGGGTCCTTGAAATGATTTTGGGCCGATGATGATTTGCGAAGAAAGAAGGCCTAAAAAATATGTTTCTTTCCCATAATCCGACCGACACATTCAATTTGCTACCATATCTGTGACAGTTTCAATCATGTGATGCACTTTTTATAAAGAATGTTAATTGTAGCTTTAGTTGAAATATAAATATGTTGTCCTAGTCAACCTTTACTTAAATATGAAGGGAAATGATCATTTTTATATCATCAAGCATTTCCTCCCCCAATTTCTTTAGCTTCGTTTTCTATCGCTAGACAGCCATGTTGGGTGCCTACTGTAAATATCCCACCTGGTTACTTCAGTCCTGGGATGTTTGGCCCTATTTATTGAGGTATTTAGGGAAAGTGAAAATGAATGTTTAAAATGGAAACTTTATTATGCTTCCATATGTGAGATTGTACATTAGGCAAAAATAAACCCCACAGACAGACTCTGTTTTGGGGGGGAAATGTTACATAAAACAAAAAGTATGTTTGCAGTAAGATTAACATTTTTTTTTTTTTTTGTTAAATAACATAATTTTCTTTATTGGTAAGGAATCGATAAACTTACCAAGATTGTCTATTAAAGTTTATTTTCCCAAAATATTTGGTGGTATAATTTTTCGGCCTATGCTGCCTTGGAAGGACTTGTGTAGACCCTTAATCAGTGGGTCCTTTGGACCCACAGAAAATAATTCTGAATTTCGAACACTGCATGTATGACTCAAATACATTTAATTTCTGTAAGTTTGAACCCAATGCAGCTAATAGCTTTCCATTTTAAAATAGATTTTCAACAATGTAAATGTAAAACTTTTATTTCATTTTACTAACATGCTATACTGTAAAATCACATTTTTTCACGGGGTAAAATTTTTGTGGTTTGAGGAAAAACTCCTGGTTCGTGGGGATTTGAATTCATGGATGAAGAATTGCTTAGTAGTTAAGAACATTTTACATTTCGTAGTGGACATGAATTCGTAGGTCTATTCATACCTCGAAAACAACGAAAATTAACCCCATACGAAAATTTGCGATTTCACAGTATTTCCTTTTTTATTTCATTTACATGTAAGTAATATGTGTTACAAGAAGCCAACTGAAACTGTACTTACCTCCTGAACTGAATTAAAGACAGGAAGACCTAAGTGGACTTGGCCCCCTTTTCCGGGGGAGACACCTCCAACCATCCTCGTCCCATACTCAATGGCTTGCTGACTGTGTATGGTTCCCTGTGGAGAAAAAACAAAAACTTTAGTACACAGTAATTAGGCTGAAATCACTGCTTGTACATGTTGAAAAGTCATTTTAATTTTGTTTCAGATTTGCTGCATCAAGTACTTTACTTCTTCATATTTGTTATCTAATATTATGTTACTTTTATCAAATAAGCAGGATTTGAAATTCAGGCTCGTCACCTTGTCATTTTCATTTGAATGTTTTTGGCCGACCTGGTTTTGAATCTGGTTTGCATTAATGACGAACTAGTGACAAGTTTGGAACCATCGGCAAACCTCAGCTGATTCTGTCACCTTCATCAAACCTTGGTTGTACCAGGATACTTACGATTCTACGCATAACATTTGTGATAAGGCTGTCTGTTTATGGCTTAGGGAAAATGTAATGCTATGAAAATGATAATAAACAAGCATCTGACCTATGACAAAAATCTTTGAAAGCAATAAAGGTAATGCTAAGAGTGACACTTACTAAGAAACATGCGCTTAGTATCTTTACATAATCGACTGCCGTCATGAGAAAAGGGCCCTTATCTTTTGACGTCACAATGCCCAGAAAACGACGTCAAAGTCGCGGTATTGTAAACACGGAAGTAATTTTTGTTGACTGCAACTTGTAAACAAGAAATAAAATTGAATTTCAAAGCGTAACAAAAATTTTAAACTTCATACGGACATTTTTTCATTGGTATATGATATATTTACAATTTAGTAAGTAAATTTATTCATAATTTTGTTTAAGTATTTAACTTGATGTAGATATATTGGGCATTGGGCATTCACGTTGCTAGCCCTGGAACAGCGATTAAAACGATGTCTATGCATGACTAAATTAAAGATGCTGCATATTTGTTTTCCGAGCAATTTACAAATGCTTATTTGAATTTTTAATTGATGCATGTTAAGAAATCTTAATATTAAAAGGTATATTCCATATAAATGTATATATTTTTTTCAAAGAGAGAGAGAGAGAGAGATCTATGATACATAGTAATTACCGTTCTAATAAGCACTACTTTTTTCTGAAAAATATATAGCATAATTTAAAACGTAATTAGCCATTTTAATTTTAATCCATAGTTTATCATACTGATATACCCCGATAACCAGCCTTCGGTGGACTGTCGATTTTAAAATGTGTGTTAAAAAAAGGGGGGGGGGGGAGACAAGCCAAAAAGAATCTCCGAATAAAAAGACCGGTTAAAGTTAAAGCTGAGAAACAAAATCCCTATTTGATTGAATAAAGATATTGGTAACATGGGAGATCCAAACCTTCTACATAACCAAAATTTAATATGTTTTACTAAATTAACAGTAATAGAATATGCTATAAGTAGTAAAAAAAATACGGATGATGGGGATGCCACGAAAATTTTGCCAAAATAAATTTTGTTTAAAATGATCAAATAAATACATTCAAATGAATTGTATGGTAGAAATTACTATTGTTTCAAATTTCTGAAATTGTTTCGATGAAATGAATGAATGAAATCCCACTGGAACCTATTTTGCAATATGTTAAGAAATTAAATACAGCTATTGTAGACTTTCCCCAAAAGCATTATACCCAATGTTGAAGAAATTAACAATGATGATTTTTATAAGTCAAAAAGGGGGAAAAACGCTAAGCAATATACATAAGAATAAGACATACGCATTTCTGGATAACATCAAATACATCACTGAAAGAGCAAAATGTATGTGACAAATTGTTATGGGTATAATTTCCAAAAGTTATGAAAGTGTTTAAAATCTTTAAAAACTTTAATGAGCGTGAAATATATATCACTGACTTTTCATGATATGCAATAAATAATATAAGTCACATTTTGCGTTGAAATCTTCAACTCTGACACATGTATCAAAATACCCCAGCATATCTCGACATTAATTTCTTAAAGTTCCGAGATAAGACTTTATATCATAATCCTAACATGACTCTACGGAAAGTAATTAATAAACAAACACTAATTTTTCTTCCTTTAAATAAAATATTGGCCATTACAGTCGCACGCAAGTAGCAACGGAGGTTGGGGTGTACATTGAAAGTCCGCCCCCCCCCCCCCCACACACACACACACACATACACACATTTTGTTGCATCATAGACAAATTCGTGCACTATAGGGCAAAAAAAAAAGAATAAGGCACTGTATTATGTTTGATTAAGAAAATTTGATACTGAAAGAAGACTGAACCTACCCCCCCCTCCCCAACGGCGAAATTGGATTCGAGTTTCGACACACACACCTTTTTTTTGGGGGGGGGAGTAGTTTTTTTTAAAGGTAGATTTATTTTTTCCCCTATCTGAACCCCCCCCCCCTCTTTTTCAAACGAGTTGTGTGGGGACATTCGAAGGTACGAGTCAAATGTTTTTTATTAATTTTGATATGTTTGGTATGTTCTGAAGTAATAACTAGGGGAAAATGGCTTGCCTAAATATTTTAGAGCGGTATACTATTACTTAATTAACAGCATCGCCTCATACAAAAAGCATTAACGTATATTGGACGTAATGTTCATTATAAGATAAGACATTCGCATCGAAAAGTGAAAAAACTTATAAGGTATCAAGTTAATAAGCCATTGTCACGGAGGAAAATGAATAGATGACCGTTCGTGGCCGTAAAAAATTGTTTTGCTTGTCAAGGAAAATTTGATGGTTGAAAGTGTCCACAGCTGAAAAAAATATAGCCCCCCCCAACTGAAATGGCTTCCTAAGGGCCTGCCGTTCCTGCGTAAAATTATATTAGTATTCATTCAGCTGTTTCAAATAGATTTCGTCAAAATTTAGAACAGCACAATTCCCATCTCTTTGATTAAGTTATACAATATAATACATAAATCATTTTTTTTAGATCATAGTAGCGGTCCTTATAAAAATATACAAAATGTTGTGTTTAAGTGAAACAGGGTACAGGTGCGACAAAATTTTAAAAACAGTTAACGTGCAGAAATATTTCTAACCGATTTAATTGTGATTTACTTCTTTAAAAAATAAGAAGTTAAAAGACGGTTTCAAATTGAGGTATAAATTCAAAGAAAGTTTCAATTTAAGGTGCGGTATATAAATCATTTAGATTCATTTGTCCTTTATTAGCCTATTTACTACGTTTCTACTCCATAACTAAGACAGGCAAAGAAAATGAATTGTATAAACAATGGAATCTTAGAGCTTTACACGTTTTAAATAAACTATTCAAAAACGATTGATTGTATATTGTTTAACGTCCCTCTTGAGAATTTTCCACTCATATGGAGACACCATCACTTGCTGGTGAAGAGCTACAAATTTTGTCCTATACTCGGCACTCAGGGCCTTTGAGCAGAGAGGGATCTTTTTCGTTGCCAGTACCTACTGCGACACGGGACCTCGGTCTCATTCGAAGGACCGGTCTCCACGTCCCACAGTGGGATTCGAACCGGCGACGTAAGGATTGATTCCTTACTTCCTTGCATGCAAGAAGGGAACGTATATTTTTTTCATGAATGTTTATTAAAGGAATAAACGTTTTAAAAAACAAGTTAACATATCTTGGCGTATCTGAATTTATTATTTCTCAATTGAATTCTTCGGTGATACAGAAAATACACGGTGTTTTTTTTTTATCGTAACAGTTATAGGGAATAAAGTTACGTGCGTGTATGTTGGTGAGTGGGTGCTGTCTAATAAGATTTTTTTTAAATATCGGGATCGATGTGCTTTTTGCGAGGCGTGCCCCTATTTGCGCGCGGTGTCCTTCCGCATCGGATCGGATTCTCTCTCTATATATATATTTCTTTCAATCTTTAAGTGTTACAAGTGCTTCATATATTCTATAAATTGAATTAGATTATTTTATATAAAAAGAATAATTTATATGGATATAAACAAATACTATTTTCCTTCAGATTATGTTATAAAGCATTCCTAGATTCTGCCTAGACCCCCCCCTTTTTTTTTTAAAGAAAATACCAGATCTGCTCTAAAATTAGCATGAAAATAGTGATTATATACGAAATCCCTTAGGAATAGTTAAATACTAGTCGCTTGGAAGAAAAAATTAAATACTTTCTCAAGTTTTTAATTCTCAAAACGATTGATGTTATTTAAATAACATGTAATTTTTTTTTGAAAATTGAATTAGACGCAGGCGACGTCATAACGTTTTCACTGGGTAACGTCAAAGTTATTTTTGAAGCGTCTCACTAAAATGCTTATAAAATACCGAAAAAGTGAGATATTTTCAAAATTTATGTATATTTGCATTCAGAAAGAGTCCGGCTAACAAAATTTACCAAAAAGTCAATTTGTGAAAATTTGACCTTAAGGGCCCTATTCTTGTGACGGCAGTCAATCATATGTTTGTTAACAAATTGAATTCAGCACAATGTACTTATTTAAATTTAAGGTGCAGCCATATTGCCTATAAAGTAGCTCCGATTCAATAAAGGTTAACATGTTACAGCCAAGGTTAAAGGTCGAAGTACGAATCGCTAATGTTAGCTGCAGAACTGTAGCTCTCCGAAAAAATATTTTGACAGACTGGAGAGCTACAGTGCCACCCATTGAAAATACTGTATATTTATTGCGCACAAAAAGTTGTGCTTAGTTCTGGATTAATTCTTCCAAATTCTTACCGCAATTACGAAAAAAGATAGATTTAAAAAAGTTCCTTACTCCTCTATGAAGTACTCTCGCATTTGACATCTGCACGAAATGCGTTGGACCAAATTATCTTGCAAACCAAAATGGCAGTATAAATAGACGAAATTTTCGATGATCTCAATTTCAAAGTCAGATGGGCTATAAACAACAATTATAAGGAATGTTGTGTTGTGGAAACAGTGAAAGAATATGTCAGGAACACATATGTTAGTAATATTTTGAGATGACAGATTAAAAATATGGAGAAATAAATCGAGAAACAGCACACTTTTTTGTGAGCAATAAATATACAGTTTTTTCATTGGGTGGCACTGCAGCTCTCCAGTCTGTAAAATTTGTTTTTTTTGGAAAGCTACAGTTCTGCAGCTAAGCTGACGTGTGCCGAGTGGAGTTGGGAATATTCAGTAATATATTGTTTACATATTTTAAAATAAACTTGATAATTAGCATAGTAGTAAAAAAGTAATAAAATCTGCTTAATACATGTTGCTTGTCTTCACTTTGCAATAGAAAGTTCATCACTGATATTTTATTCAGGCAACATGAAATCCATTTCAACAACCAAGTACCAGTACCAAGGTTGCCCGAATGGCGAGCACAAATTTTGATGTGTTGAACCCTGATTCTGTGTGTATAGAGAGACCTGTTTTCCTGTGAATCCCTGGCAGATAACTTTGGTATTTCTGTCGATCATCAGATTTTTCCGTGTATTGGTGTAACATGATCTGACCCCAGTTTTTGTGATACCTGCAAATAGTTTTTTTTCATATCATTTTAACTCTTCGTCCTTTTCATATGAAATCATAAATATGGATAAAAATCAGTTAAATCCAAACTCTTTGTAAAATAAAAGTGATTATACACAATGCGTTCAAAAATTGAATTCCTCAAAGCAATAGGCCTATTTTCCTAATAGAGGAAATTCGAAATGCCAGTGTCACCTTGGTAAATTGACGTCAAAATGCAATCCTAGATATGCATAAACCTTTATTTGTGTAAAATGAAACGGATTTTCAGTTAAAGATGCTTAAATATAATAACTTAATTAAATAATCTTACCCGAAATTCTACAAAAAAGTTTTCCAGCCGCAGCCATCGTGGAAATTTCTGAGTGTAAAACCTGGCATGCATAGAACGAAGATTTCCGGAAAAGTGAAATCGACAAAATGAATCATTTTAACCAGGGACCTTTATATATATATATATATAGATCCCTGTTTTAACGTAGAGCATTTATTGGGGAAAAAAATCTTTTAAAGGCTTAATGTGTCTATAAATTCTATAATTTTTATTGCACAGTAATAGTCAAGGTTTTACTCAGAGGCGATTGGTTTCAGCCTGAAGATCACAGGCACTTCAATGGCTGTACATAATAATTTTAACCCATACTTATCTTGTGTTGATTATCATACTATGGGTTAAAAAAATAACTAGTATTACAGAATTTGAGTACGATCAAGACAGCCTACTGACAGATTAGTTGATGTTACAGGGCTTTCAACAATAACGTTAAAAACGTGGTCAGTCTTTCCTAATTATATGGTCTTTTTCATGACCTTGATAGGTAAATATAGATCATTTTAATATTTTAAAAATGATAGGTTAATTTGCAAAAAAAAAAACCCTGTAAAATAAAAAGTTATTTGTAAACTGTTTTCCCATAAATTATTAAAATAGAAAAATTGGTATTACAGGACGTGTGGATGTTTGTAATTTTTGTTAAATAGAATTTTTAAAATGAGAAATAAATGCTGTTGCCCCAGTTCATCAATGTAGCTTTGATACAATATACTAAAACATATGTAAAAATGACAAAGAATCGATTGCAAATAGAAAATAATATTCTAATACAACTGTTTCAATTTGTAAAACACATTTTAATTTGCCATTGCACTGAGGCATACAATGAATCCTTAGTGTATTATGAATGATGTTAGAAGTGAGGCCTACCCTTCCCGACAATGGTTCACACTCAAGCACACTCCCTCACACATATATAAAACTTGTAGCGTAAGTTGGCAGTACAGCAATTTAATGGTCAACAGCCGTTTAATACCGTCAGTGTGAATGATAAACATTTTTCTTACGCTGCTGTTGCAGCTTTAATTTTTAGTTCATGTTTTCGTTTTAAAAATAAAGGCCCTTAGGAAGCATTGCAGTGGGGGAGGGGGTAGGCGACCGCTTTAAAATCCAAAATTCATTATTTGTCAGGCGCATATTAGTGAAAAAAGATAGTCGTCAGACCTTATTGAAGCTTGAGGCATAAGCAAAAAAAAAAAAAAAAAAAAAAAAAAAGCTTGCTTTCTATTATTTTGTAGATATACATACTGTATATTGGCCAATATAAAGTACATAGATGAAAAGATGATGGATTCAAATGACATAGCAATTTACATGCAAAATTAACAACAACATATTCAGGAATTAAATTAGCATTGGCAATGTCCATACTTCCTTTAATTCTTTTTTTTGCCATGAGTATTCATTACACACACAACTCTTAAGTTTAATTCATACAGAATTCTGTGCGGGAGAAAAAAAACTCCAAATATTAAAAAAATTCCCATTTTAACATTTCCATTTTTAGAGATCAACCTTGAGGGCTCTCTTCGTGGTAGATGAATAATCTTCATCATGCATCATAGAATTGAGTTCATCAGTGCATATGTACCAGTGTGCTGTCTTTGTAAAGTCTTAGATGTTTCTCTCCTCCTTCCTGTCTAGACTAATACCATCTCATGCACTCCCCCACCTAAAAGAGAAGTGGGAGGGAAACCGATTTTATTCTTTCTCCGTTGTATTGCTACATGAATAGCTCTGGTGGTAATACAGTTGTGGTTTGAAACAATACCTGCATCCCAAACTCATTGCCTCTTCAGCCTCTTTGGCTATATTGACGGATTTGTTTCTTCTATAATTCCTTCTTTCTTCCATTTTCGATCTTCTGGACACTAATGCAAGTTTATCTCTATCTCTTTCAAAGAAACCCATCGATAGTCGTCTCTCTTCTGCATGGAGTTGCAAGACCGATTTGGCGGGTTTTTCAGGATGAAATACGGGTACCTACTAAAACTAAACTTCTTAAATAACATACTCTTTATACAGATACAGTGGCCAAGGGCCTACTAGTATATCCTCATCCTTCGATTTAGTTTCTACCCATTGTTTCTGTATATCGAACATACATGTACACCGATGACAATACAGGTATTCCTACATGTACATATACATTTATGTAATATACCGGCACCTATACCAGTAAGTCCCAAATTTAACAAATTATATTCACAACCACTAAAATTATTTCCTTTTTTCCGAAGAAAAAAAGCCCTTAACGAGTCAGTAAAAACCGCAAAATATATATTTCACCTATACAGATTTCATAAGCAGTTACTGTAGCTCTGACATGAATTAATTTTTTTTAAAATCTTACTTTAACTGGCTATAGGTACAGTTGAAAGTATTAACAATAATTAAAAGGTTTTTCTTTGCTTGCTAGTGCGGAAATTATAATGTTGCAGATTTTGCAGAAAAATTTACATAAGCCTCTTATTTTATTGAACAATTTTTTGTCAAATAATCAAAGGAATAATACGAAAGCATTTTTTTCGCATAAATAAACAAGTGAATTCAAAGAATTGTGGTCCACCGCTTTCGGTTTTCTTGTGGGTGAAATGTCATTAGATATTTATGGGATATTGTGTCAAATATGAACGACATATCGTATGTCATCAAAAGTTATCACACGTTTTTTTTTTTGGGGGGGGGGGGTAGGTCAAACAAGAAAGTCAAGGGCTCAGAAATCGTACATTTAGATGCTCGGAAATATCTTGCCCCAGGTAATGCACATGACAAATATGAAAGCCCTACCTCTTCTACATCAGGAGTCATAAGGAAGAAATAACATTTTTGAAACGATCAAATTTTAAGGTCAAGGTCAGGGGTCAATAATCAGAGTATATTAAGAACGGACTTGTCAGAGGTAATA